ATGTGGGATGAATCCCGTGGAGAGGCCCCAAAAACCCGTGTTCGAAAACGGGCCCAATTTTGCCCTGCCTTATTTCGGCCCCCTGGCAACCCGTTGGGTTTCAAATAACAAAAAATTCGCCCTAAAAAAGACGAAACGGAATATATTTTCCATAAATTTAAAGGGGGGACGGGGGGGTTGTAACCGCTTGGTTACGACTTAACCTGCTTATTTGTAGCGGAAATTATGCTGAATCTTTTGTACAATGCATTATGGAAAGATGTCAAGTATTTCTGCAGTTTTACATCCAAAAAGGTTTACCCTGTGTCTTCCACTTGTTCTAGTGAGGATGACAGTGAAGAATTCATTCTAGAGCTTTTGATGTGAAGCGGGAACAGTGTTGCACTTTATCTGGCATTTTCTGGCATATTTTGGGCAATGGTTTGGCATAAAACGAAGTATTTTATCTGGCAACCCTGGTTAAGGTGATTTTTTTTTTGTTGGTGAAAAATACCAAAATCAAAAACAAGCTGACTGCAGTGTAAACAAAACAAATAAACATTAAATAAAAATGCAAATAACATTGATAGCAGACCAACAGTCCATTCTGATATATGTCTATTGATAGTCAACTGTGATTTTTTGACATATGTTGTTTTTGCAACATAATTAACTTCTGCTGAAGTTGCAAAAAAGCCTAGCAAGCCAGCAATGATTTATTATCGCTACTGAAAATACAATGAGAATCTATTTGTGGCATCCATAGACCAGGAGAAGGCATCTGACAGAGTCGATAGACAAGTTTAATGAACAGTTTTGGATCGAAATGGAGTGTGCAAAAGTTAATTTTGGGATTGAAGAAGCGTAGTTAGAATAAATCAGGGAGCATCTAAACCATTCATAGTAACATCAGGAGTAAGACAGAGATGTGTTTTATCACCACTGCTGTTGATAAACACATGTTGACAGTAAATGCAAGGCTGCCAAACCCAGGAATGAAAATATAAGTAACATCAACAAATTACCCTTTGCTGATGACCAAGCCTTGACAGCAGATACAGCCAGGAAAATTACAATAACATCTCACAGCCATGAATGAAGAATTTAAAACAAAAAATATAAGAATAAAAACTGTAAAGACAGAAGTAATGTCAATAGAAAGACACAAGCGGAACCTAAATTTAGCAGTAGAGTGCCAAGGCATCTCGTTTTAAATATCTGGGAACAACATTAACCAAAGATGGTAAATTAGATAAATAAATTAACATCTGATGCAGTAAAACAAATTAGGCAGTGGGACAAACCCCCACCCCCCCCCCCCCCCCCCCCCCCCCCCCCCCCCCCCCCCCCCTCCCCCCCAACAAAACAATCAAAATCAGCACACAGAAACATCTTATACAAAGCATATTCTTTCCAACCCTGTGCTACCAGTGACAGATGTGGTCACCACAACAAACCAGAAATGAAAATTAGTAACCATGGAAATCAGACGTCTGAGAAGGGCTGCAGGAATGACAAGAGAAGATAAAATCAGGAATGAGGTCATAAGGGAAAAAATTCGGCATAGACTCCATTTTTAAATTGACATACAAAGACAACAAATCAAATTGTTTGCCCACTTGGAAAGAATGCATTGTGAGATGCCATACTATACAAAGCATGCACTAAAGAGGAGATGGGCAAAGAGCATGAGGTAGACCAAGAATATGATGGAAAGATAACATCAAAGAAACTCAACAACAGCACTATGTGTCTATAGTCAAGGCAGCCAGAAGATCAAGAAGCAGAATATATATCTCGATCAACACATTAAGCGGCAAAAGAGGAAGTGAAGAAGAAGAAAAAGAATTAACTTCTTCAGTGCTTGCTCTAAAAAGGAGTGTTGCATGTGTAGCTGACTAGCATGTCTTAAACAATGGCTGCAGATTCTTGTCGTCAGCCAATTCTGCTTCAAATGACTAGGGAAAAATCTGTAACAAAATACATGCATTAACTACAGTTCAAATGTAGAATCATGTGTTCATGCACATAACAAAGCCTAAAATATATCTTACAATAAATATGTACAAGCATAAGTTATAGATATGAAGTCACAATTTCTTTGAGGAAAAATTAACCAGAATATACTTTTTTTTGGTTCTCTCTTGTAACCCAACTGGCCACTTCAAAGTCAAGTTGACATCACATTTTCACATAAGCCCCAGCAAATCAAGAAAACAGAATGAGTCACAGATACATTTGATTTTGCCTGAAGGAATGTATTTCATTGAATGCTTCACGCTGTTCATGTCTACTGATGACTTCCCGTATATATCTTTTTATATTTCAAGGAGAAACAATTTTAAAACATAGAAGTAAATAAAATTTTAGAAACACTTCTTAGTCATCTGTGTAAAATGATAGTCTTTTCACTATTTAATTTTCAGAAAAACTCATTTTATTTATCGTTTAGAGGGTGAAAGGGCTAGACTCATTTTGTAGCCAGTCTACATTCCACTTTGCATACTAAATAAAGTACTTGTACTATGCATGTTATCTGCATACTAAAATAAAGTTAAATATATATTCCTACATAATTTATCTGTATGAATGTAAAGCAATACAAACAAAAGCATTCAATTTTTTTTGTTTAAATCATCTCTCTCTCTGTACTATGGGAGCTGCCCAGGTGTACAGCTAGAAGCATTCCTGCAGATTCGAAGGTCCTGGGTTTAAAACTGCCTGGTGCCAATTTTTTTTTTTTTTTCAAACATGATCTTGGCTCACAGGTCGACCCAGCCTTAAGTGAGTACCAGGTAAAGTCCTGTGTAGTAAAGGCAGCTGGCACTGATGTTGACTACATAACCCATCCAGGGCCGATTGGTCTATACAAAATATGAGTTTAGCCTCATATTCCCCGTGCAATGGCATATAAAGGGACCTTTATTTTTTATTTCTTTTTATTACTTTCTATATTGCAATTTTGCCAACTTTTCTATCCATCTAAGCCTCCCTCCATATCTGCCAGCCTTGCAGGCTTAACCTCCATACTTTCCACATTAAAAAAAAAAGAAATTATAAAAGCGTGAAGTGACACAAGATGTTACACACAAACGCTGCCAGTGTCCGACACAAACGCTGCCAGTGTCCACACACAAACGCTGCCAGTGTCCACTACACAAACGCTGCCAGTGTCCATACACAAACGCTGCCAGTGACCACACACAAACGCTGCCAGTGTCCACACACAAACGCTGCCAGTGTCCACACACAAACACTGCCAGTGTCCACACACAAACGCTGCCAGTGTAAACACACAAACGCTGCCAGTGTAAACACACAAACGCTGCCAGTGTCCATACACAAACGCTGCCAGTGTCCACACACAAACACTGCCAGTGTCCACACACAAACGCAGCCAGTGTAAACACACAAACGCTGCCAGTGTCCATACACAAACACTGCCAGTGTCCACACACAAACACTGCCAGTGTCCACACACAAACGCTGCCAGTGTAAACACACAAACGCTGCCAGTGTCCATACACAAACACTGCCAATGTCCACACACAAACACTGCCAGTGTCCACACACAAACGCTGCCAGTGTCCATACACAAACGCTGCCAGTGACCACAAACAAACACTGCCAGTGTCCACACACAATGTGCAGCACAAATAAACCATGGCAACATCACTCATGGCACCAACCCAACTTCCCCTAGTGATTGCATCCAAAAAGCTGCTATGAGCAAGACATCCTAGTTTGCAAACTTCCGGCTAGGCATCCTCCACAACTATGGTGTGTGCAACAACATCATATGCTGTACGGTTATGTTTGAAGAAAAACAAGGTCAGGCATGCCGGCAGAAAGAAAGCAATGGTAAAATTTTTTATGATCGACCTCAAGAAGGCACTGTAAGAATAGAAAGAAACAAATAGAATTAATTAGCATTGTAGGAAGCAGCAACACTTGAAAAAATATGTAATGGCAACAGCAGAGATTTACAAGTCATTCAAAAACAATGGGCAGTTGTAGGGTCTATATAGTTTATAACCAGAGGGCACATGAGAGCTAATATGATGAGTATCCCAGAACTGACCTTGATTTTATCAGATAAATTTCCATCATACATTTTTAAATCTGGGTCATGAAGTAGTTTGCATGAACTCTTCACCAGTTCCAAACACTGTCTTATATATTGGACAGTTTTTTCAGATCACAGTTTTCATTTTCTTCTGGAAAATTATGGGCATTCTTGTGATTTCTGTTGTGAAGTTTATACAGTAGCTAGATAATATATCCATGCAGTGTCAGTGGAGGAGGGAGGGAGGGGGGGAGGGAGGTAGTACTGTAGATTCTGCTGTCACCTTTCTGGTTACAAACAATAAATCAATATCATCTATGAACACATGTTTAAATGCTAGTTGCAAATGAGGACCAACTCAAATTTTATGTTTAGGTTATCCATAGAACTTCGAGGACTGCTCTTAACAGGAATAGACAGACAGTCAAAGATTATTTACGAGGGCACATCTCGACTCAAATTTTCAGTATATCTGTATTCTATCACCGTAAAATTTCTTAATTTTTTTTTCTCTGACATTATTGGTGCAACTGAAACTTTTATGTTAAATAAGACTTGAAAAACCATTTGAATAGTTCAAGTTGTTCAATATATTTGGTCTTTCTTCCAATTTCTTTGATTGGCAAGAATGGGAGACTACCTCTCACTGCCTCTGTGGTAGAGTGGTTAGTGTGCTCATATACCAAAAGTGTATGGGTTCAACATCTAGTCATGTGCAAGTAGTGCTTTATTTCAACATTTGTCATCTAATGTTGTTACTAAAAAGAACATCTTTTTGGGATAAAAAGATGGTCAGCAGCAAATACCTGGGCAGAAAAGTTCATGTAATGGAGACAGACAACAGCAGACCACTTATTCAATATCAAACAACTTTTGAAGCGTGCACTGGCTACCTCTCACATACAACACTTTTTTTAAACTCCATGTGACTTATTCAGTTTTTTACTAACCCATTCTTCCCCAACTGTTACTTTCATTTTGTTGCCTCCTTATGTTATTAATTTAACCTATTACATCCAAACAAGCATAAGTTAACTTCTTATGACAGAATGAGTTAAAGAAACATTTGCATGGGACTTTAAGAGTAAGAGAGACATTTTAATCAAAACTTACTTTTTGAAACTGACATTGCCTGCTGGAGAAACCAACACCTGACCATGACCGAGGCACTGCACACTGTCACAGGACACAACTTTCAAGCCCATCAATCTTTTGCCTGGTGTGGCACCGATGACTCCCCGAGCTCCGAGAGTTCGATATAAACACAGCGTCTGGGAACATGGACAAAACAACCAAAATGTTTCCAATGTTTGTGCCCATTCAACTAACCTATCCCACAGCCTTATCATACCGAAGTCAATATCAGGTCACCTTTTTATGACAAAGAAGATGCCATGCAAGAATAAGAGGATTCATTATATATCTAGGCAAATGTTGAAAGCCTGGAAGATAAGCTCATTAAAAATAAGCCATATTGCGTGAATTGAATAATGAACTATTGAGCTCCAGTGTTTATGGAAGACTAGTTGTAATTAGAAAAAAATTGCAACAGTAACGTATATTTACAGATAAACATTAATAAAGCTACTGAACAAAGTATTCCACAGGAGGAGTTATCTCCCCTACACATTACCTAACCGACATCATCACAAAGAATAAACTCTAAGCTATTCATAACTCCTTTCAAATGGATGACTTAATTTATAAATGTCATGCTTCACTGAATGGCATTGCACAGAGCCATCTTAAGTAAAGTAAAAGTAAGGGACCCTTTTCCATTCCTTTAGGCGTATAGGGCATACATGGCTAGATATATATTTTTATAGACCAATCGGCACAAGATGGATGATATGGTCAGCATCACGCCGGCCGCCTTTACTTCTGAGCCATCTTAGAGCTGTAGTGATCATCTCTGATAACACTTTCAAGCTTGATCTTATGTTTGGATCTGTTCCTCTTGCCCAGCAATGATCGAGCACCTCCATGTTCCCTCTTTGTTCGCCATTAAAAAAGAGTTGTTCGCATGTTGTGATTTTCAATTAGGCTGCAATATCCACTCCCACTTGTTCAACATAATTGACTTCAGGAGTTAATTAGTTGTTTTTTAACACACAATTTTTACAGGTTTATTATTTTCCCCCTTGCTAAATGGGGCCCCTAAGCTCGTATAAGAGCCCTTCCCTTTGACTGCACATCTCGCTATTTACTATTAAATCACCCCACCCAGATTTGCACTTTATCAGGTGTTTCATTTTCAAATCTGCTCTCCCATTATCTTCGTTGTGAAGTGGTCAAGCCATTTGCCTCATGCTCTGAAGGTTTTGGGTTCGTTTCACAGCTGTGCCCTTTAGTTCACGAGTGCAATTTTTAAGGAGATCCCTGGGGATTGTCGCCGGAGCTATGGAGTTCGTGCTCTGACAGGCAGCTAGCCATTCTGTGGAGAGAGACCAAGCCATACGGGATAAAACCTGGTGCAATAAAGTCGATCCTCTCGACCGTAACTTTTTGTTGTTGCTCCACTCTATATTCTGTGCCAAGGGCTTTAATATATTCTTATAAGGTTTTAAAAACAATAAAAGCCAAAAGTAAAGAAGGATGGTCTGCTTACCTCAAAAATTGTAATAAGTATTCGATTGATGACTTCCAACGCTATAACTTCAAATGTTATGGCAAATGCACGATCGTAATCCAGCTCAGTGAAGGTTTCAATAAGGTCATCACTGTTGATTAAAGAGCTGCAGAATAACAAGGTACAATATATCTTCATTTCTGTGTAGGGCTTCATTCTTAATAAATTAACATACTAATAATTGTAAGGACAGGTGGTAATACAATCAGACTGTTACTGGGACCATTGGAATTGAAAAACTGCGCTTGCCACTGAAGATAGGGACGGAGCGCTTATAGGAATGTCTAAGGTTCTGTGATGTTGACTGTTAATAAAAAATTTAACTAATAATTGTAATCCACTTAACCCAAAAGCTGTCATTATCACAGCTGCAACTGCTTCACTATAAACAATGTATAGATGAATTTACCCTAAAATGGGAGTCAGTGTTAGCACGTGGTTCTTTTCATCATAATTTGGGTAATCAGTCTTTCATCACTGTTTAATATGCCTTTACAGAAAATATCTCTGTTTAGGTATGACAAAAATATTCTCAATCTTTCTGCGAGTTCCTCTGCCACATCCATGGCCAACGGATGTTTAATGTCCTGTGTACATATTCATGCTGGCTGACTCCTCCTGCTTCTAGTAACCATGCTTTTCATCCATATTCTTTTCAAATCACTGTTGTATTTAATTTGTGCGCTATGGAACCGAGCTAGCAGGAGATCTCACAGTTGGTGCCCCCCACCAGAGATGCAGTGTCCAGTCTGGCTCTCATCAGCCCACACCTAATAAAAAAAAAAAAGTAAAGATCCCTTTTCACGCCTTTCGGCGCATCGGGCATAATGGCAGAGCGTCCCATATTTTTACAGACCATCAGCACTCTGTGGGTAATGTGGTCAGCATTACGCCGGCTGTCTTTACTTTCCCAGGACAGCCCATCCTGGTACCCATTTTAGGCTGGGTCGACCTGCGACCACACCTAATGCACGGTATCAAAAGTGCTACTGGTTGGCAGAAATGTTTAAAAGTGCGATAACATTTGCCCCACTTACCAGTATCGGGACCAACTAAGAAGGCATGCCTGATGGATGCTTTCTCCATTCTGTCATGCTAGGGGTCCAGGTGAAACAAAGATGTCCTGCGTGCGCGAAAAAAACTGACCTATTTGTGTGGTCATCAAAGCCCCCGACCTGTGGGCTGTTCCCTGTTGATCTCCAGGGGGTACAGCTCGTGAAGATTGGAAAGCTCAACATACGGTTGTGAGGTTTAAACAGTCATTTGCAGGACATGACGACTAATGGGTGAGTCCCAGGACCAGAGTGTCATGGGTCAGCTCTATATTTATTGAAGCCTCCTTGAATGATGGAGAATGCATATGATCTGCCCCTGCCTTTCCTTGAGGGCTGACCAGTCTACATGCAGTTGCCCTGGATGGGTTCTCTGGGCAACACCTGTAGATAAGGGAACAAAGAGAAAACCCCACAGAAGTAACATGTCCCTGTCTCATGAATCTATCCAGGAAGTTAGCCCAGTCAACAAATGCTCAATGAAGTCGGATGTGTCTGCCGAAAGGCACAAATATTGCAGCTTTGCTGTAAAGAGGTGCAAAGCAAATATGTAACTTGGACAAACCAAAATAAACTCATTTATTAGCCAATGGACAGCTATCATTTTATCAGTTCTACAGGTTCATCTATCAGCAGTTTATGCTTTTGATTCATAGTTGCTTCCTCAACCTGTTGTGTCCTGCAGTCAGCAGAAAGAATACTACTTGTCCAATTCAAGAGTTACATTAAGGTGCTTCTCTGATGTGGTCATTGTATTGTAGCTCAGAGAGAGAGAGAGAGAAAGAGAAGAGACACAGGGTAGGAAAGTAGAGAGAGGAAAACTCAAATGAACATAAATATCTACTCTCTCAATGCTTACATGTGATCCTAGGCTGAGTTCTGTCACCAAAAACAATGACACAATCATTTTGATATAAAAAAGAAAAGTGAAGTCAATCAGTTCGGCAGCCACTCTTTTCCAGAAAGTTGGGATTTTCATGACAACCCCTAAAAATAAAAATACAATGATTAATATAAATTACATAGGCACAACATTTGAAGCCATGTTTTCTCAATGAAAATTTCAAAGACAAAGAGAACAACCAACCAACTGCACAGTTTACTGCCTCTCATATTTTGCTGTGTCAAGTAAGGCACATTTTCTCTGTGTCAAATTGAAATGTAAGATTTGCATATTTTACACTCTACTTGATGCTCATTACTTCCCCCTGTTAAGAAAAATACCTTTCTGAATTTTTTTTCCTGGAAATAACACTTTTCTTCAGTGTTTTTTTTTTTCTTCACATTACTTAAGAATGTCATTTATTTTGTCTGCCCCATTAAAAAAGCATGTCATAAAAGGCCCATTAATTAGGAGTGTTTCTTTCAAAGCTGGACTGCTCTGCCTGAGAGACAAGAAGCCAACAGTCTGCATACAAATGAGCCAGATCTGTAAAATGGATGCATGTAGAAAAAAACATGGATTTTCCACCAATGTTCAAGGCCAGTGAACGCAATATAAGAAAGTTGAGACTGCCCAGGAAAATCCTTCCCTAAAAAAGACCTGGAGTAAACTTTAAGCTGTTCTTAATATTACCACATCAGATACTCAATAGCTTCTGTAACATCATCAAATTAATTTTGTCCTTGACAAATATTAAATACACTCTCTGCTACATCTCTGTGATTATGTGGTCAAGCTGTCTGCCTTGCATTCTGAAGTGTGTGGATTTGTTTCATGGATTATGTTGTTCAATTCTGAATGTAATCTTATGGAAATCCCTTGTATTGTTGCTGGAGCTGCAAAGTCCGTCCTTTGTGTAGTGCTCTCAGTGGCTAGCCATTCTGCAGAACGATAAAACCCTGTTGATCCTCTCGACTTTAAAAACCTATGTTTAAAACAATGTTAGTCTTCTTCTTCTAAAGTCCTGTTCTGCCTTTAAGTAACAAGTTTTAAAGAGGCATCGGGTGCAAGCCTTGGTATGTGCTGATATTAGGATATTCCATTCATCTATGAATGGTCCGGTCAAACTCTAGTTTGTTTTCACTGTGTTTAAGTGACAGGGCTCTCTGTGGTGCACTATCTGGTGGTAATCTTGAAACATATCCAAACCATCTGATCTGTTTTCTCTTTATGTAGTTCAGTACTGGTTCCATCCTAACTTGTTTCTTCATAATGCCATTTCTGATCCTGTCTTTTCAAGTTAAATTTAAGATTTGTTTTGGACATTCCAATTCCTGCTGTCTGGGTTTTTCTATTTCCTTTTATTGTTAATGTCTTCATTTAGCACTGATAACACAATACTGGTAAAAATACTGTACTGAAAAGTGCTCTTTTGGTGTCAATTGCTACACGTTTGTTCTAAAATATTGGTGATATCTGTCCAATGATTCGATGTGCTATTTTACATCTGTGTTCAATTTCTTCTTCTTTGTTCACCTGCTGTAAGCTCCAGCTAAACACCCTTTTGTTCGTCCATTTCAATTTCGGCTTTGTGCCAGGGCATGAGTTTTGCATGTACATCTGTTTTACTGGCTTAATTGTGTGAGGTTGGTTGTTCCTTGCCGCTTGGGCAGATGGACTCCAATCGAATAAGTCCAATAATTCTACTTTTACGACATGCTTGTTAGGCAGGCAGTGGGTCTATTCTTGTTTTTTCCATAAAGGGGGCTCCGGAACCCACACAGGTCATTCTATTTCTACTTCCATTTTTCCATTGGCTGATATTATGCTTCACAAATACTATAGTCCAGATGGAGAAGATGAATGCAAGATTAGAGAGGAAAACGTATAGGAAAGGCCTCTGCTATGTTTGCAAATCTCACAAAGAGAGTCTGGTCAAACAAAAAGCTAACTGATAATACAAAAATGAAGGTTTATGAGTCTTATGTCATGAGCACATTACTGTACGGCTGCGAATCCTGGACTCTCTATGCTCCACAGGAAAAAAGACTGAATACCTTACATATGCGCTGTCTGAGACGCATCCTTGGTATATTATGGCGAGACCTTGTCTCCAACAAATGTGTGCTCACAAGAGCAAAAATACCATCAATGTATTGTATACTGAAGCAAAGACGTCTGCGCTGGCTGGGACATGTCTCCCGCGTGGAGGATGGTCGTATTCCAAAAGCGCTCCTATATGGTGAATTGGTAACTGGGAATAGACCTACCAGAAGGCCAAAGCTGCGCTATAAAGATGTATGCAAACGTGACCTAATAGATACCAACATAGGCACAGAGACATGGGAAAAACCAGCTGCAGATCGACTACTATGGAGACAAAAGGTGAAAGACGGACTGTCACATTTTGAAAGAAACCAAACACAACGAGCTGTGGAGAGGAGACACCGGAGAGTAAAACTGCCTTACAACGAGGGGGTATCTGCTTTTGTGTGTATCCTGTGTGGCAAAGACTGCCATTCCAGCATCGGACTTTACAGTCACAGCAGATGCTGTTCCCAAAGCCAGCGGCACATCTCCATAGTCCCTCCGGGACTGACGGATGCCATTAATACTGCCGGACTCACTAAAAACAAAGGCACACCCACACACACCAGATGGCAGCTGCTCCTTCCCGCCCCAAGCCACGCCGCTGCTGTCTGCACGTATTCATGGGCTAAAATAGATCCCACCCTTCCCTGGACTTTAACAAGCCATTTTGGCTGAATATAGCCGATAATCAACTGCCCTCATACCTGAAACGACCGTAAATGAAAGTAGCCAAAACCAGCCAAATGGTGCAAAAAAAAAAGCTCAACGGCCGAAAATCACATGGCTTCCGATGATCTCATTGCAGCCGTCAAAATCCATGGCTTTTTAAGGTCAGAATGTCTTTTTTTAAGGTCAAAATTAAGGTTCCTGGTAGGAAAATCAATTTCAGTGTCAATTCAAGATTTCCCGGGCCACTACGAACCCTGACGCATGGATCAGCAACTAGTGCGGTTAAAAATGGGGGTGCTGGCGTCTTTATTACATACCCAGGCAACCACCCCCACACAAAGTGTATGCCCACTGGTAAATTATGTTCCAATTACACAGCAGAGATCGTAGCACTAGAGCAGGCTGATATGTTACACAACACCAGTTCTGACTGCCACCAAGTGGTCATATTTACAGATGCGCTATGGTGCTCCAAGCCTTTAAGACTGGCAATCTCCCTTACCTGAACAGGACTTAACAAACTTAACCAGCATATGCACAGGCTTTGTCTAAGCAGTTCACCTTTGTGCCCTTGTGGGCTATGTGTGCAGACTACAAAATAATATCCATTGTTCAGCTCATTTAGAAGGGAATACTGGCCCAGTGAGTCCCCAATGCCCGCAAAGTTGTATGGGACTAAAAAAGAACTCATAAAAACAGTCAAGTTTATCACGAAAACCTGTCAGCCGGTGTAAATCAGAAAGCAAACACAAGAAGAAGAAGATTGCTACACAGATACTTGAAGTCATTTGCTCGCTTGAGTTGTTAGGTTTTCTATGCATATCTTGATTGTTTGTTCCTTTCTTTAAATGGTCACAACTTTGGGATTGATCAATTTAGCCAGATGTGACCTACAATAGTATTTGGGTTTATTACATTATGATAATAAGCTGTCCAAAACTATTCACAAAATAAAATAAAGTGAGCATTTTGATTTTCAATAAACCATTAGTAATAGCTCGGTCATCATCAAGGTAAACAAACAGCTGGTGAAGACATGTGACACTCCCTAGCAAATAAATAAAAAATGTGTCCAATGTAACCTGAAATGTGCACAGGTTAGATAAAAATCTCTTATTATTTTGAAATTATAATATAACCAGAATTGATAATTTACTTTTTGTCTCTGAATGCCTAAATAATTTTCGGAGATAGCAAGCAATATTAATTGCTATAAAATAAAATAAAAACTCTGTACATTTTTACAGAAATATGGAAAAATGTATCTCAAAGAACTGATGAAAATGTGTTGTAAGGTGGATGTTCCAGAAGTTCCCAGCCTAAATAATTAATTGTCTCCTAAGTTAACCGAGCCGTATGTGCTCTGGCAATGTCATGAAGAAGCAGTACTCATCTAATCAGCAGGCCTGGACGTTTTCTTCTAATTGCATCATGAAGAGCATCCTTGAAAAAATACTTTTACCTAGCTATGCACTGCTTAAATTATTAACTTAGTAAAGGCCACATATAAAGACATGAAACGTTGAATTCTTCATGAGGGAAAGCTAACAGATACATTTGAAATAAAAACATGTGTGCGGTTAAAAATGGGGGTGCTGGCGTCTTTATTACATACCCAGGCAACCACCCCCACACAAAGTGTATGCCCACTGGTAAATTATGTTCCAATTACACAGCAGAGATCGTAGCACTAGAGCAGGCTGATATGTTACACAACACCAGTTCTGACTGCCACCAAGTGGTCATATTTACAGATGCGCCATGGTGCTCCAAGCCTTTAAGACTGGCAATCTCCCTTACCTGAACAGGACATAACAAACTTAACCAGCATATGCACAGGCTTTGTCTAAGCAGTTCACCTTTGTGCCCTTGTGGGCTATGTGTGCAGACTACAAAATAATATCCATTGTTCAGCTTATTTAGAAGGGAATACTGGCCCAGTGAGTCCCCAATGCCCGCAAAGTTGTATGGGACTAAAAAAGAACTCATAAAAACAGTCAAGTTTATCACGAAAACCTGTCAGCCGGTGTAAATCAGAAAGCAAACACAAGAAGAAGAAGATTGCTACACAGATACTTGAAGTCATTTGCTCGCTTGAGTTGTTAGGTTTTCTATGCATATCTTGATTGTTTGTTCCTTTCTTTAAATGGTCACAACTTTGGGATTGATCAATTTAGCCAGATGTGACCTACAATAGTATTTGGGTTTATTACATTATGATAATAAGCTGTCCAAAACTATTCACAAAATAAAATAAAGTGAGCATTTTGATTTTCAATAAACCATTAGTAATAGCTCGGACATCATGAAGGTAAACAAACAGCTGGTGAAGACATGTGACACTCCCTAGCAAATAAATAAAAAATGTGTCCAATGTAACCTGAAATGTGCACAGGTTAGATAAAAATCTCTTATTATTTTGAAATTATAATATAACCAGAATTGATAATTTACTTTTTGTCTCTGAATGCCTAAATAATTTTCGGAGATAGCAAGCAATATTAATTGCTATAAAATAAAATAAAAACTCTGTACATTTTTACAGAAATATGGAAAAATGTATCTCAAAGAACTGATGAAAATGTGTTGTAAGGTGGATGTTCCAGAAGTTCCCAGCCTAAATAATTAATTGTCTCCTAAGTTAACCGAGCCGTATGTGCTCTGGCAATGTCATGAAGAAGTAGTACTCATCTAATCAGCAGGCCTGGACGTTTTCTTCTAATTGCATCATGAAGAGCATCCTTGAAAAAATACTTTTACCTAGCTATGCACTGCTTAAATTATTAACTTAGTAAAGGCCACATATAAAGACATGAAACGTTGAATTCTTCATGAGGGAAAGCTAACAGATACATTTGAAATAAAAACATGTGTGCGACAGGGATGTCATTTGTCGCCTCTCTTATTTTTACTGGCTATAGAATGGATTATAATAACAGTAACTGCTAACACAAAGAATGGAATTCAGTGGACACCTACAAAACAGCTTCATGATCTGGACTTCACTAATGACATTTCTCATCTGTCCCATTCATGGAATCAGATACAAGATAAATTAAATATACTTGATGCGAGATCACAGCAGCTGGGTCTGAAAATCCATAAAGGAATGACAAAGATAATAAGAATAAATCAGGTAAATAGCAATGTGGTTTCTCTTAATAGTACCCCACTCCAAGACGTGGAGTCGTACACCTATTTGGGCAGTAATGTAGATAAAGATGGAGGAACTGATAGAGATATTAAAATAAGAATACAAAAGGCAAGAGGAGCTTTCATAGCACTAGGAAATTTGTGGAGGTCAAAAGAAATTTTTTTTAAATACTAAAGTAAAAATTGTTTATTCTAATGTCGAATCAGTACTTTTGTATGGGGCAGAAAAGTGGAGAACAACTAAGGCAATTACTAATAAATTACAGACATTCATTAACTGGTGCCTGCACAGAACAAAGGGAATTAAATGGTATGATAGAATAACTAATGTAGAGCTTTGGGAGAGAACTAAGCAGGCTCCAGTGGACCAAGAGGTGAGGAAAAGACCCTGGCGTTGGATAGGACACACACTGAGAAAAAACGCACTACAGCACTTTGTTTTTTGAGGGTACACTCCGTAAGTATAGTCCCCATTTTGTTTATGTGTTGCGTATGCACATAAAACACCTAGCGCCACCTAAACGAACGGAGACATTAAGTCTGACGTTGCTGTCACCTTATGACACCTTTAGAAACCACCAACTACATTTTCCTGCAATCTGTTACTTATTGACTGCCCCTCGCATCTGGATAGTTTAAACTAGTTAAGTTGCTGAAAAATGTCTCAAAACTCAATTCTTAAATCGTAAGTGTCATGCAACAATAGCCAATTGAATACTAATGGCTGACGATGGCGCTGCAAGTTGTAAAGGAATGATGCAATGGCATCATGTATGTATCACATACATGTACAATGTACACGCATTAAAATATTTCATACATAATTTTGTATTCTGTTAGGTCTCGTTATAAACATGGTGATGTGTGGTTGCTAAGGTAAATGCCTAGAAACAAAAAAGTTACAGTTAATATGTTACAAGTGCTGAAAAAGTATTTTTCCCTGATCCCGTTTTCCAAGTACGTATACACTTTGCATTAAAAATTAATAACTAGGCTTAGAATTTACGCAAAAGCTTGAATTTGATTTTTCAAGTGGAATCTAACTATGCTAGTTGTGTTATTAAAAAGTAATTAAGAAAATTTGACTAAAGTACCTTAACAGGGTATGTGTAAAACTGTAAAGTGTTTCATTGGGGGACTTATGGGAGAAGTGACCTGGTTACCATCCAAAACAATTTTCGCAAGGTTTTGGAAAATGTCGACACAAGGTCAATTAATTAGAAAAGCTCGGGAAACCTCAGAATTCGGATGAGCTGTAAACAGCCAAAATCAAAGAAGTCTGGTCTAATTAGTAATCCCTCATGGACTGAAAATTGTTGTCTGCTGTTTACTTATTGACAGTTGTATCTGAATATAGCAGTAAGTAGGCATATTGACATGAAGCCTCTAACATATTCATAACCAAACATGATTTTAATAATCGAAATCTCCATCAAATTTAACTTTTGTTGATGAAATTTCATTTCTATAAACTATTGGAGTGATTTACGGTAGGATTTTGAAGATAAGCTCTTCAGGCCATGAAGTGTGGAAAAATTGGCATCCATACAGTTACTTTATGATGAGTTTTCAGAGTTTTAATTATTGCAGTTATTTAACAGTGTTTTTTTTTTAATCCTCTGTAAGTGACTAATACTGGGATATCTTAATTTCCCATAAACTGTTACGTCCATATAAACAGTTGGCCAATCTTTGCTAGTAACCCTAGGGGACGTAATCAATGGGTGTTTACGGCAACAGTAAGGGAGAAAATCCACTGTTTGTGTACACAATATTAATATTCTTTCATATTTAATATTGTTTGAGATTAGGGGTTAGGTAAGGGTTAGTACTTCGGTTAGGGTTAGCCATAACTGTAACCTTAACCCTAATCTCAAACGATATTAAATATGACAGAATTTGATGTGAACTTTCCCAAACAATGGATTATGTCCCCTGGTATTGGCACTTGCAGTTATGTTAGTAGTAGTAGTACTTTTTCCTCTACAATCATCCCTTTGTAGGATGTAATTTTTCATTATTTGAAGCCCCACCCTGGCTCTTGCCAGGGGCCACAATATAGCCCGAGAATAAATATGGTCTAATGGCTGAAGGCGGTTTCTGGGACCTCTCCATGGGTGGTTCTCATCCATATAGTGGCACTATGTGTCACAGGGTGTTTATTGCTTGTGTGATGTCCTAGTGGGGTAAAATGTACTATTACCCTACCAGGACATCACACAAGCGATAAACACCCGATGACACAAAGTGCCACCATGTGGATGAGGATCACCCGTGGAGAGGTCCCAGAAACCGCCTTCAGCCATTAGGCCATATTAATGGCCAACAGATTATGTTGGAATCAAATTATCATCCCACCAGTGGGATGCAATTTTTCATAATTTGAAGCCCCACCCTGGCTGTTGGCAAAGGCAATAATATGACCTAATGGTTGAACACGGTTTCCGGGACCTCTCCATGGGTGATCCTTATCTGCATGGTGGCACTTTGTGTCACTGGGTGTTTATCGCTCTGTGTGATGTCCTGGTGGGGATACTGTCGGCGGTAAGTGTAACCGCGTTTTGCGCATGCCGAAAAGTTTAGGACAACAATGACGCTAATCTGCGTCGGAGCGCATGGTCTCCCTGCCATGTCGCTTTTATCATCTGTAATGTTGCATGTCTCAAAATTGTCAATGGTTGCTAGTATCGTCTGCTAGTATCGTATGCAGTGTTGTGACTCATGAAATTGTCAGGTAATTCTAGTTTTGCCGCAATTTGTTCATCGCCGGAAGTTCAAATTTTTTTAATAGGATTGAGGCCCTGTTAGGATATTTGTTTGGCCACCATAATGCCGGGGTAGAAGTTCGGAGGAGAGCCCAATGTTTTTAATTAAATCTATCTAAAGCCAAAGAGAGAAAAAACATTTTTATTAAAGGCATCATCATCAATGCCATTAACAACGCAAGTTTATGGTCTGCTTTAAATAAAAAATATTTATACTATGACACTAATTTAAACAATTCTTTGAAATACATTTTTATTGTTTAAAGAAGTTAGACCCCCCCCCCCCCACTACTTTTTTCAAAGATGTGCTTTATATATACTGGGTAGGGAAGACTGAAAGTGCTTGAGTACTGAGCAACCACCCAGTTTTAAAGTGAATTTTGCCTTGGTGGTGAGGAATGCTAAAGGCCCCACTCCATTGTGGGTACCCCCCTCCCACACCCCCATTTTTTAAAAATTTGTAAAGCCCCCCCCCCCCCCCCCACTTGTTTTCCAAATGTCTTCTTAATCTGGAACGAGTGGGGGTGGGGGGGGGGGAGTGTTGCCTCATTAAATGTTACATAGACGTAATTTTTATGATTTTACCTTGAACATTCCCTTGTTGCGGAGGCTGTGTATGAGGCGTGCTTCCATTTATGTTGCTTGTTTGAGACCTTCTCTCCGCGTAAGGGTCAACTCTAAGTCTCGAGTGTGTAGTGTGTAAAGAGAAATAATGGTTATTATTTACAGACGACAAAAACGACAGTGCTTGCATCTGAACTGCGAAGTTGGCTGCCATTGAATGCATAACGCATGTCTGATACTGCCACAACCAAGGACGAAGCGCTTGGGCATATTCTCTAGCATTCCTATAAGCGACAGGTGGTTGGTTGGTGTTGTAATTACTATCACCAGCGTCGGAAAATCCTGGTCCAGGCCGTCTAGAATGGTCAGAAGTAGAACTGTCAGGTCTGTCTTTGAACGCCATTTTGAAGTGTATCAGATAGGGAGGTTTCCGTTCCGTGTTTTTTAGAATGTGTGCATTGTTGCGCACGTAAAAAATCCCCTGGCAGTTAGAAATCAAAAGAAGCCTAACGGCGCTGCCCGGGCAAACATTTGGAGTTAAAAATCTACCCAAAGTATTTCAGGATCCTCGCCGGTCCTACAGAGCCTGTGCACTGTGCTTAGCTTCTTCGGACTCAGACTTGAGTTAGAAGAAGAACGGAGCACTAATTGATTACTACCCGTGTGCCATGATGTTGATCCGTTGTTCAAACCTCAAACGCCTGGTACAAGAAATGTTCTAAATAAGTTGTGTGGCGATAGCAGTTATGTCTATACACAACTTTCTATATCCAGTACATTCAGTCTGTTCTGACACAGATGATCTTCCATGCCGTGAATAAAAAATTCCCAACAACTGTTCTCTCGGTCTCCACATGTCTCTTTCCATTTCACCTTTCCCCAACGTCACCATGCGCGCAGCAACAAATAAAATATTAGTGGAACTCAGCCCACCCCCTTAAAAAACAGATTTTCCAGGCAATTGTATTTTCCTTATCGCTTTTTCCTTCCCTGAATTGGGAAAACAACAAAGTGGGAACCCCTTAGACTCCTCACCCTAGGCTTCCAACCACTACTCCCCCCTCCATCCCCCGAAAAAAGTAATGCTTGAATGGTTTAACCTCCCCCCCCCCCCCCCCCCCTACATTGCCCCCCCCCCCCCCACAACACGACCTTCTCACCAATTAATATATTGCTTAGGCAACAGCAACAACAAAAAGGTGTGGCGGGGGCGCTCAAGTCTTTGGGTGTCCTACACACAGAAGAAAAGGAACGGGGGATGGGGGCGGGGGTGGGTAGTAGAGGGAGACCGAGTTCCTTGCCACCCTATAATTTTGTAAGGTAGCTACAGTTAAGGATATCTAATATTGGCCTTAGGGCTAATGACGTCAGCCTGACGTGATGTCACACCCACCTCCCTCCGGGCTAACAAAAGGTTGCCTCACAGAGTAAATACGTAAATATTTTCTAAATTAACTAAATTAGATTAGGGCTATTTGTGTGTGTGTGTGTTTCAATTCTGCGTTTTTTTTTATTCACCTAAGTATGGGAAATTTTACAAGGAGAGGCCTATAAAGGTGTTTAAAAACATATTTTAGTGGCATCACGGTGAGCTTTAAAACCAACATATTTACGGCATACAGACGTTTAACCTGCTTCTACTTTATAATTTATAAATCATTACATGCTAGTAATTTAGTTGCAGCAAATATAAAGTTCACTTCTACGAAGAATTAAGATATTGCTATATTATTTTATTTGATAATCTGATCTTTTTCAAAGAAGAGGACAAATACTGACAACTTTGAAGATCTGAACATCAAGGAAGATTGGTTAATAAACAGCAGTAGTATATCAGGTCGTGGATCGGGAGTACATGGCTGCGTGGCTGCTTGGCTGCCTGGCTCGACCAGCACCTCTGGAAGTTCAAGGAGTCAAATTTTGGTTCTCCTTAAAACTACGGCCACTTATTATGGAGTTCGCCGGAGTTCAGTCCCCTGGCCGCATTGCAATTACGGAGTGGAAAAGAGGGAACAAAACAAATGACGCAATTACTGTGTGTTGGAGATAGATGCACTGCTGTCATACTAGGGTTAGGGTTTGGGTTAGGGTTAGGGTTTGGGTTAGGGGTAGGGTTAGGAGTGGCCGTAGTTTTAAGGAGTACTACTACCCTAACCCTACCCCTAACCCTAACTCTAACCCTATTATGACAGCAGTGCATCTATCGCCAACACACAGTAATAACCTCATCGGTTCACGCTGTCTATCGCCAACACACAGTAATTACGACATTTGTGTCGTTCCCCCTTTTCCACTTTGTAATTGCACTGCGGTCAGGGGACTGAACTACGCCGTACTCCATAATAAGTGGCCGTAGCTTTCAGGAGAACCCAAATTTTCGTCGGAGAAAAATCTAGGTCAGATTTTTTTCTGCGATGGTATTTTTTTTTCTTATTAAGATGGTTGGTCAGTGCGGTCTATTCGAAAATAAATCTTGTTCGAAATTTTTTCCAAAGATGGAATTTGTTTCCCCCAAGATAGAAATTTCTTTTCCCACTAAGATGTCGAAATTTTTTTTCCAAAATGGTGAAATTCTCTTCCAAGATCTCCGAATATTTTTCCAAGATTGTGGAATTTTCCCCTCAAGCTGGTTGCCTTGTTGTCAGGAGCGTCTCAAATAAAATATATCAAAATTAAATGTAAAAATGTTTTTTTTTCTATACCCCATTTGGGGGGGTCTGGAGCACATCGGGGGTTTTGGGAGCGCTCCATATACATTTATAGTGATACATGGTGACCTTCTGTCTTCTTATGTTAGCTATGTATAGTTTTAATTATTAACAAATTAAAATACAATATCTTCTTGAAAATTTGCGACCCTGTGCTTGATTCATAATAGTTTATTAAAAAATTGTGTGCTTTTTGTCAAACCTGTTCCAACTTGTAGAATTATTAATTTTAAAAAATATCTAACTAACTAACTATCTGTCTGTCTGTCTGTCTGTCTGTCTGTCTGTCTGTCTGTCTGTCTGTCTGTCTGTCTGTCTGTCTGTCTGTCTGTCTGTCTGTCTGTCTGTCTCTCTCTCTCTCTCTCTCTCTCTCTCTCTCTCTCTCTCTCTCTCTCTCTCTCTCTCTCTCTCTCTCTTTCACTCTCTTCTGTATCATTATCATATTCCCTGATATGAGGCCCCTCCCTCTGCTATAACCACATCTTTATCATTGATATGAGGCCCCTTGCAGTTCTTTTTGTCTACTCCTGTATCTCAACTGCAGTAATTTACCAATACAACACTGAATACAAAATATAATGCCTCTCTTTTCCTCTTGTCGGGCAGTCCATAGAGTGATACATGGGATCACGCACCCTCCAGTTCTTTATAGATCCCTATTATTATTTTTTTGGGAGCCCTCTGTTATCTCGTGTAAGTTATGTGTATGCCCATTGTTTCCTCTTGTCAGGAAACCTGTAAATATTTATATAGTACTGATAAATGGGGCCCTGTCCCTTTAGTTCTCACTTTAACCTCAAACATTCACGTCCTTGTAAGAGTCCCATTGCAGGCGACGCACTTTCACACACACACACAAACATGCGACCTTTAGCGCACTGGGCCATGGTCAACGTAAGATTTATGTCAATTGGTTTGAACCAGACAAAATCCCCACAGGCCATATCACTAATAAACAAAGTGTAGCCTAATTGTACCTGTGTTCGCGTGAGGACGCCAACAATTTTAAGGGAGCTTACAATCTTTATGGCTCACATTAAAAAAAACTGTTAAGGTGACTTTCATACCAAACACTAGAAGTGAGAAAACATAGACTCTTCGGGTGCATTTGGCATAGCTAGGTTAGATCTATGCTCTTTTCTCTTTTTTTCTAACCACGATTGTACTTCTTGATGTCATAGGCATACTGCTATCATCATCATCATCATCATCATCATCATCATCACCAAGAACAGCATTATCATATAACAGACTCCTCTTGCGCATTGGGCATAGCTGGGTTTAGACCTAAGCTCTTTTCTCGCTCTTTTATAACCACCATGTCTGTTTATTGTTGACTTAGGCTTATAGGGCCAGACAATATCTTGAATACTAGTCGACATACCTTTTGTCTTTACGACCTGGTTTATTTCTTAGTGGCATAGACTTATAGGACTTACCGACACTGGTCAGTACTAGTTAGTAGATTTACACCTACTACAATCTTAGTAGCCTTTAATTCGAAAATAAAATACTTAACAACAAACACTGCTGACTGAGAAAACCACACATGACCTTGGGTGTATAAACCTATAAAAACCTAACATACAGTTTTTTGTCTTTTTTGCCGACACGAACGACAAGGAGGTCTGGTTGTTGATTATGTCACTCAACTCTTATATTTTATAGTCACGACTTGTCTGTGGTCCTCTTGCTTACGTCTAACTTACATAGTCAAAGAACGTTTTTAAAACTGATTACCCAGCTAACACAACTATTTGACCCCTCCTCCATCTGTTTATCTAATAATCACTCTAACCGGTTGTTTCGCCCGTGTAACACAGAAAACTACCGCTTTCTTTCCTGTTCACGTCAAAATGTATACATAAAAATACCGTCACCACTCTCTTCGTGACACACAAAAAAACACACCATAAAACCAACATTTTCTTCCCATTCCTCACCCACAGTCAGGCATAGAACTATCTTCTTTTCTCTTTACTGAAACTAGCATACATTAAAACTAACACTTTTTTCCACTTCTCGCTACCATTTACACATAAAACTACAGCCATTAGCTTGTTTTCACACCACCTTATTCTCTGCATGGCTAACTATTACACATAAAACTCCAACTTTTATTTTTCTCATTAAGTCTCACACATGAAACTACCCTCTTCTCCACTTTTCTTACCATCGGTTCTACATAAAAAATACTTATGCTCTCACTGTGGGGCTAACTGTTACACATAAAACTGTCTGCTTCTTTCTCTTTATCACCAACTTTCACACATAAAAACACAGATGTCACTCCCTTCTTGACTAAATCTCACACATAAAACCACAATTTTTATTTCTCTTCCTAACTAAGTCACACATAAAACTATTTTTTTTTCTATTTCTTAGCAACTCCTAACAATAAAAGCACCCTTTTCTCCGCTTTTCTGACCAACAGTTTAACACAAAAATACCTTATGCTCTCACTGTCGGAATAACTGTTACAAATAAAACTGCCTGCTCCCTTCTTATTTTCACCAAATCTCACACATAAAAACACAGATATCACTCCCTTCTTGACTAAATATCACACATAAAATCACCATTTTCTTTCCCTCTTCTCTACCTTCATGACCAAAGTTCACACATAAAACTATATAATTTTCTCTATCTCAGCAAATATCACACATAAAAATACCCTTTTCTTCCACTTCTTGGC